AGTTTGGTGATGATCTGAGGTCATTTGAGGTCACACGGGTCAATTGAAAGGTCACGCCATTATAACGGATAGGCAATTTCCACAATTTCTGAACCATGTGCGGGCTAAAATATTCACCCAATCATCACACAAGTTGGCACACACATAACCGGGGTACACTGGATGTTACAGGTTGAAACCAGTCAAGGTCACTGGAAGGTCAAGGTAACCAAGGTCAAATATGTGTGTTTGGTCATAACTCTGCAAAGGATTGAGCTAGAGCAACGGGAGCGGTCTCAAAATCTAAGTAAACACAGACATTCTCATGTGTGACCAATATCACACAAATGTTCATGGGCACTTTGTGGATATAAAAACGATCATGTAATATGGGCTGGGTTCCTCATAATCTGGCTTCCATGGTGATGAACTGCCCCCACCGATTCCTGGTTGCTATCTCCGCTTGCACTTGTTCCTTCTGTGAATAAAGGTGACTCTGAATTGTAATGTAGCGTAGTGCTGTAACCTGCTTGTTTCTCTTGTAATAGGCAGGTTTACTCTATACTGTGGAACATTCTAGACCAGGGGTTTTGGGGTTTTCAAATTGGGTGAATGTGAGCCTTCCCTTAGAGTAGGTAAAGCCAGCCGAGCCTCCCCACTTGCCCAAAATCCCATCCACCTGCCCCTCGACACTCAGTCTTTGTTCATTTCTGGTTTATTCCTGGTTTAGTCCTAGTTCAGTCCTGGTTTAGTCCTCCTGGTTCACTCCTGGGATCAGTTCTGGTTTAGTCTGCCTGTGTCTGTGGCCTCGCCTATTGACTGTTTTAGACAAAGCAATAACATTTCCATGGAGGCAAGCAGGTGGCAGACCTTGCACTAGAAATGATACACAATGAACCTTTAAGACTTTAGTGTTCTATTGAGAAAAAATAAACAAAAACATCAAAACATACAGGGATGTAGTTTATATTTCCCCCTTACTTTGCCTTCTCTCCATGTCCTCCAGCCATCTTCCACCATCCAAAGAAACAAATATGTTAGGAATCCAGTCACACCTAACAAATAAAAAGCTACAACAGTTATTTGAAACATAAACCCAAATATGCAGTGAGTGAATATAGTCTGGGGATTCTGCGATAGAAAAGTACATTTGCTTTTCTGAGGCCGTCTTTAACCCCTGGCGACTTCACTGGAACATCATAACACCAGCTCACATCCAGCCGTTGGAAGGTTATTCAAGGATTCCTCTGTTATTTTGTCAATACACCTCCTCTCCCCAGTGCATAACAGTCCCTGCACAGACTTGTTGCTTTGGCTGTCACTTGGCTTTTCTTTCAGCCCTCCTTTTCTTGCCCCTCCGTCAATGCTAAAAGGTTTCCCAAAGATTGCCAAACAGTCGATACATTTCCAGCATGAGGCCGGGCCAAGAAAAGGTTCGACCCGGTAGATGACATTCAGCGTGGAGGCATAATCATTGGTCGCTAATGAATTAAATAGACGTGACATTTCACACAGAAGCAAGCGTCCTTTTTGTGGCCACTGTTATACCGTTTCTGTCATGTGTTTGTGTTCATCAGGGCCAGTACTGGAAGGTAATGAAGTGCAAAAGCAAAAGTACAATATTTAAGTAGACACTTGTAAGTACGTTTACAGTGGATACTTTTTACTTTTACTTCACAACATTTGAGAGCATGTATGTGTACTTTCTACTCCAGCACGTTTTAGATCTGGACTGAAAAGTAAAAAGTGCTTTTCTATAAGGTTTGAAACCTGCTGAAATAGCTGAGACTTTTTTTTTTTTAGCACATTTCATTAGTTAACATCCCAACTTTGAGCAAACAAAATACACAAAAACTGTTACAAAATTTAAGAAATCAATTGAATCACTTAAAATCAGCTATATTCTTTATCAAAATCATTACATTACATTCTGTAATTGTTCTAAAATCTCTACAAAATACTTACTACAAAATACTTTATGCTTAAAGTACAGTTTTAAACAGGTACTTCAATAGTTTTATTTAAGTAGATTTTTTTCATGTGATACTTTTACTTTTGGTTAAATAACACAGTTGAGTACTTCATCCACCACTGACCATTAGACAAAAATTTAAATATATATACATAATGAAAGTACAAATGTTCAGTTTTGCACATTTGATGGATACATTCTGAACATGCATGAACTATAAAAACTACATGAACAAATGTCTGATGCAAATCATACATTTCTTACACTAGTTCATGCATGTAAGAAATGTATGAAGGCTGCTAATCACAGCAGTGGCGGCCTTTCTTTAATTACATTAAACTTACATTTTTTATGTACATTTTTATATTGATTAGTTCATTATATATAATATTTGCTCTGTTTTATCTGGAAATTACAATCTTATGAAGGTCATGGTTTGATTTCAATATTGACTGGTCAATAACTGGAGTGGAAAGTCACTAATTACAAATACTCACGTTACTGTAATTGAGTTGATTTTTGGGGGATAATTGTACTATTGTGAGTGGATTTTAAAACCTGTACTTGCATTTGTATTTGAGTACAATTCTAACCATGTCACTGTAATTAGTTAAATCATATAAGTACTCACTCAGTATAACACAAGTCAAAATCATTACAGTACATTTTAGCTCTACTTTTACAAATTTCCACCACTGCTGTTTAGTTTTTTTGTTTTTGTATTATATAGATTGTCAATTTCTTTGTGTTCAGACAGCAGTTTTTGTTCTAAGTTCTCTATGTAATTGTTCTAGTTTGTGTGTGCTTGTCTCCATGGGGATGTTATTGCTTTGCCTGGAACTTTCCACAGTATGGGATTAAACCTAATTAAATCTATCCATGAAAACAAGCAAGGGACGCCACCAGGCAAAGTTACCTTAAGTCCGTTCTGTAGGTTTTTTACAGTTAAGTGTAATGCCATACAGAATGCAATGTCCACTGAGTCCCTGTTCTCAGCACACAGCTCACTCACAAGGAATCTCATTATTTTCAATGGACCAAGAAGCAGCAGCAGCGAGTGGAGCAAGGCTGGAGACCGTGAAATATCTATTACCAAAAGTTTGTGATATTTTGGATTTGGGGGCATAGTAATTGAGAAGGAGCTAAATACAGTATGTTTGACTATTTTTTTTTTTTTACTATGTTTTGACTATGATTTGACTTATACTGTCACATTTGATTCTTTAGTTTAGTTTAATATCTTTATTTCTAAGTAAACAAGTAAGTAAGTATCATGTTTTCTACACTATAGTCTTTACCAAGCCCTCCTTCCTCTTTGCTTCCTTTGTTTCTCCTCTCCTCATTTGTATCATTATTAGGACATACTTTATTTTATATTATCTGTTATATCTTTAGGCTGTTTTTGTCACATTAGATTCTAGATTAATGTTTGGTTTCATATCTTTAAGCTTGTTATATTTAATTTTTAACTACAAAAGAATAATACTACACCTTTGATGCTTTCACTGCTTTGTAAGTGAACTGTCATGTCTCCTGTTCCCTTAGGATCAACACTTAAATTCTCTTTACCAGTCTCTCTTACCTCTTTGGGGTTTTTTTTCCTCTCTCTCCTCTGCTCCTCATCATTATTCCTGCTCATGCTCCTCTGACTTCTATATGTGGGCTGCAGATGGAGAAGACCTAGAGGACACACAGAGATGGGCGGAGTCGGTGTGTTTTTAGCGGCACCGGGCACAATCTGGCTGGAAGGTCACGACCCCAAATGACATCTACCGCTGCGCACGCTCAAGAAGTCATACAGCCAAGGAGCACTGATGGCAGGTGTGATAGGTCAACCATTAACTATGAGAGAGAGAAAGAAAGAGATGGAGGAAGAGAAGAAGGGGAGGGAAGTGCTCGGATGTAGTGGTGGGCAACATTGATACAAATGATCTCATTTTATTTTTGGATCATCTTGAAGGCCTCGATGGTTGAGGTTCCAATTATCGCACCAAGCGTGAACTGTAACAAGTAACAAAAATATTCCTTTGTGAAAATAACAGTTTTTTTTTATTTATTTTTTTTTATTTTAACCAGCTTTTTAACATTTCAATTATGATTATTAGACTTTGTACAAAATATTCTTTCACTTAGGCCTTAAAGCATGATATATTGCTACAGAAAAATACTGTATTGTAGTAAACATACTATTGAAATACTTTATACCACTTACACAAAGGAGGATAGTCCCAGTAAAGCAATTTCTAGATAGACAGTACCATTAAAAGGCCTGAGCTGCGACAAATAAATAGCGTAATGAACCAATATTTAGCCATATAAGGTATTTATTCTACCCTCTACAGCTCAAATCTGACCTTATTACAATATAATGCCAAAAAATCTCACTACTGCAAAGAAATTGTACACACGATAAACATTAACTTCCAAAATATATTATTCCAGCTTTCATGTATTGAACAATAAATCAGTATAGCAGTAATTTTAATGACTATGGCTAATGGCTGCTTTCGATATATATCTCTCCCCTTGGAAGAATGATATATTCAACTTTTCAAGTGGTCTGCTGGCTGATGTTTAAAAAAAAAAAAAAAAAAAAAAAAAAAAAAGGCTACAGTGTTGATTGATAGGCTATATACTAGTAGATCTAAACCTTCAAAGCATGAGGCTGCCAAAGTAATAGTGAAATAAAGCAATACGTTATTAGTTTAACTACATAATGGTTAAAGTGCACTGAAGATCCGCTGCAAACACGAGAGTAAGCACATTTTAGCTCTTATTTTAACTGTACAATCTACCTCTACCTGGTATAACATTAATTTTGATGTGTAGGAATAATTAGAGGTATATTTTTAGTGCTCCAGATACGAGCTTTACGCCTGAGTAATGTCTCTAATTGTGAAATTGTGAAAGTCTTCATATTTTTCTTACCAAAATCCACCCCCGTGCAACTTCACAGTTCTCGCGAGAAGAACGTGGTCGCCATGGATACAGAACACAAACGTGATGAGAGGAGCGCCAGACGGTACATGCACGGGACAGAAGTGAAAGGAGGAAAGGAGAGGTCTTTTTTTTTTTTTTTTTCTTTTTTTTTTTTCTTTTAGTATTTCATATAAACCCTGGGTGCGATCCTGAAATAACGCTACGTGCAAGAAGCTAAGGTGAGCACGTGGGTTTGCGTTAGCTATTAGCATTTGTTTGTTGTAAATTTTAAGGTGTTGTTAACATAATAATCACCGCACCGTATCATAATTTAACTAATTACTACTCGTTGCAGTTGTAATTTATTTTTCATCTTCATATTTGGCGTTAAGTCTTTGATTAATATGTAAAAATATAGTGTTATCGACGTTAGCAAAAAAAAAAAAAAAAAAAAAAAGTTAAGGGATCAGTATTTACTTAGTGACAGTTGCTAACGTAAAGTAAGGTGAGGTGAGGTGAGCAAAGCACTACGTAACTTTATAAAATAATCACAAATATGCATGGTGACTAGTTACCTGGGACAGAACCAGTTTTTGAGCCCTGTGACCCCTGTCCCAGCAGATTTATACAAAACCAGTGATTTGTCCCAGTTTTATACAATAAATGTCCCAGTTGTCCCAATTTCTGACCAATCTGATCCCCACCAACAGTAAAGAGGGGAATATATTGTATTTGTTTAGCTAAATTATAGAAACCATGCCTGAAAATGACCATAAGACAAACTAATACAGAAATAAATGCAACAACAGTCCCTCAGATTATGACTGACACACAAGTGAGTCAAGAATGGGCAATGTTACGTGCTCTTTTCACAGTTTTATTGATACCAACCATCCCAACCCAGGTGTGTCCCAGTTTTTAATTCTGAAAACCTGGTCACCCTATGAATATGCTTGCTCTGGACACGTTTCAATCAACCGATCTATGAAGAAAGAAATGAGAGAGAGAGATAATAGTCACCAACAAACCATTCAAACATCTGCTTCTTTATATGTAAAGAGTAAAAATTTGTACTCACGTAAAAGAATAGTTAGTTACTTACAAGGTTTTGCTGAAGTAAAAGAATGCATGAAAAATACATTTTATTTTAGTATTTTAGTAGTATTTTAGTATTCTTTAATATTTTTTTTAGTATTTTAGTAGCAAAGTTAGATTAAGTTAACTATGTAATTTAGAATTTTGTCTTTTTGAAACCACAAGCCACTCTGGCCAGTCAGAGCAGGCGCTGTTATCTGTGTTTATAGCATGGATCTATAATAATAACCAAATTTTATTATACTTATCTTATTATACTTTCTTGGTTTATAGATGTAGAAAGCAGTGAGACAACTAGGCTTGTCACGATAATAAATTTTGAAGTGTTATATATTGCTGAAGAAAATATAGATTATAATATTGATCATTATGGTTTTGCTGGCAGCTCAGTAAAGGTAATTAACTTAATAAAATAACTTTCGGGATGGGGTATGCCATAAATTTAAAATAAATTGCTCTTATTAGCATTACCTGTTGTACAAAGGTATTCTATTTATATTCACTTACGATTTACCCTTGTCTACTAATCCTAATTCACATCATTGCCAATTTTACGGTCCTCCTTTTGCTTATTCTTTTGCAGAGAGGACTTCAGGATCACACAGAATGTTTAAGCACAAAGAGCGAAGGGCCATGAATTTAAATGACTTTGTGGTGCTTCCGAACAGCACAGCCAAATCCGTCAAGCTCAATGCCAGGTGAGATGGAGAAAGATCAATGATGTGATTTAAAGCATTTGGTAAGAGTGTGTAAGCCACTTGGCATGGCTACCATTCCTCTCTGTTCTTAGCACTCGGATTGGAGCGTAATAAAATGCATGTTGCTAGGGAAGGAACAATAAACAATAATATAATTTAATGTATTGTGATAAAATGGGTAGACAATAATCATTCATGGGACATTTTATACATTACTTATTTAAGGAGATATCGTGATAATCTCCATAAAAAAAATAATCGCCATAAATCACCAGAATGTGCTGAAAAAAGATACTTCTCCATGATGTTTTCTTCTAGATCAAGGGTCTCCAACCTGTAGGTCGGGAGCTATTAGTAGCTCTCCACCCCTTTTCAAGTAGCTCACCAAGGGGATTTCTAAATTACACGTATTGTCCTGAATAACTAAAATCTGATGAATTAAATGCCTATTATTAATCATTTTGAAGCCTGATTTTGTGCATTCATAGATTAATAATGGTTTATGTTTTATCTAACTGTACCCCATCTAAATCTCACCATGGCTTTTATGTATTCTTTATTTTCTACAACTTCTAAAATTAGTAGTTCTCTGGAATTTTCGTTTTGTAAAGGTAGCTCAGCTGAGGAAAAAGTTTGAAGACTCCTGTTCTAGATCATTATTTTCACTCATATCAAGGTACAACACTATAACAATTGTTTAATAAATATGGAACCTATGTATAGTATTCAAATTATCATTATTCATATCCATACATTTTTAAATTGTCAGCAACTTTCATAGTTCTTGTGATATAATTGTTAATCACAATTATTTTGGCCATGATAATTGTGACACCAAATTTCTATATCGTTCCGTAGCTACTCATTACCACTGAAATCCACCATGTTTGAAGCAATTGTACAAAACACTAACAGGCATGCATTAGAAAAGACAATGTAAAAATGTAAACAAAAGCCAGAGATGGTGGTTTATTGCTACCGCTAAGGCAAAGAGTGTCTTTTGTGAACTGAGGAGTAAAGCAGAATCTATAGTTATAATTTAAACAGCCTATACAAATATTTTAAAAACACAGTTAAACGTGGTGTATCTGATTTGTACTGTCTTAAAAATGTGAAAAACAAAACCAGTTAATTTTGAATGGTTTGCAGTGGTCCAAAGTAACTCCTCACTTACATTATGCATTCAAAGCATCCTAATTATTCACTGCAAGTTTATAAGTACTTTTCATAACTCTCACAAACCAGTGTCGAGGTTTGACTTCAAGAGCTGCTTATACAATATATCTGTACTAGGAAAAAAAAAAAACTCAGTCGTATAACATATATTATCACAGATTTTCTCTAAAAAATTGTAGAATACAGATTTGAATGAAGGATTTAGCATCTCCAAAAAAATCTCCAGTGGTTTATCATTAGGCTGAAAATTCTGTGTGGTATGACGACACAATCCTGAGAGACTGTGTCTAGATAAATGAGGGTATCACAAAATCTTGCCATATTTTCAGGTTTTTTTTCCGCCCGTGACAAGCCATCTGAAACTGACTCCAATCTCCTACTGTAGTTTCTCATTTGCCAAAAGGTAATTGACTGAATTGATGTTTGCCGCTGTTGTACCTTGATCCAGTGACTAATTGATTAAAATATCGATTGTACGTAGGCTACAGGGATCTGATGAATTGAAGCTATTGATGAAAGCCCGGCCAGCCGCTCAGTCTGGGCAGGTCATTTGTATGATGGATTGTGCTTGATTGATTGCATACATGTGAGAATGTTCAACGTGTTGTGTGTGCGTGTGTGTGTGTTGCCATAGGAACCTGCAGGGGCTGAAGATGGAGACAGGAAGTTTGGCTCAAGAACGCGATGAGATGGAAGAGAGACTGAAGAGGCTGAAAGAGAGGATGAGCCAAGAGAAGGAGGAGCGTGTGTGAGTAAAAACTTCACGGGACATCTAGTCATAGCTACTGAGCAATTTAGACAAGTTTTGGCCCTTGCTCACTGCAAAAAATCTTGGCCAAAATTTAAGATATAAACACTTAAATCTATCAAAAAATGACTTAAAAGTAGTGAAATTATCAGTCCATGCAGCAAAATCGTTTTACTTGACAAGTTATCTTAAAATAAACTACCTCTAGACTAGAATTAAGCAGTCTCAGAACTAGTAAGTAGATAATAAATATGAAAACAAGATGAATAACTTGATACAAGTTTTAAAATCTTGGCCAGATCAGAGAAATTTGCAGTGTTAACATTATGATTTCTAGGTTACAGTTATGGAATTACATCTATGTATGAAGTTAATCAGGACGCTGATATTGATGCGAAAACAATACAAAAGTGCCAAAGAGCATGTGACATCCCAATAAGCTGCTAGGCAGAGGTGGGGACTTGCAAGTCCTGACTTGGACTCGTGTCAGACTTGAGTCACTATTTTTAGGACTTGAGACGCGACTTGATAAAATGGACTAAGACTTGAGACTCTATTTGGATTGAAGGTCAGTGACTTGGGACTTGACTTGGACTTGAGGCCTGTCACTTGAGAAGACTTGAGAAGCTCTTTTAAATCTAAATTCTTTCTATTCTGACTGTAATGATTCACTCTAAGATCTTGTCAAAACATTTAAAAAGGAAAAATTTGCTAAATTTTTATGTACTCAACTTTATAAATACTCATATATAAATATACTATGACTTTTAAGTACACTTTATCTTAAAATTCATATATATTATATATTTGGTACTTTGGTTTAAAGACTTGAAATGACTTGAAGCTCAAAGCAGGTAACCTGGACTTGACTTGGACTTATGGGGCCGGTGGCTTGAGACTCAACTTGGACCTTGGACCTTGGACCTTGCCTGCATTTGAGTTGAGACTTTACTTGGACTTGAGGTCAAAGACTTGAGGCTTACTTGAGACTTGCAAAACAAAGACTTGCTCCCACCTCTGCTGCTGGGTCACTACCAGGGAAATCTGACTGTGCAACAAAAGAGCCAGTCAGGAGTGAGGTTGTTGAAGATACTCAGCCCTTCCCTGCTGGACCGCTGGTTTGGGAGGGGGCGGGCGCTTAGCAACAAGGAGCAATGTCAATCAAACTAATCACTATGTCGAGTATTTACAACAATTTTAACCACTTATGGAAAGATAGGAGGCGCACCTGTTTTTGTTTTGTTTTTTTAAGTTGCATTGAGTGAATATAAAGCTGAGGTTAGTTTGAAGCATCATCCAGGATTTAAAGAGCCATAATAAACTGTGCATTTGCTGTGGAAGAGAAAACAAATTTAGAAGAAAAAAAAACAAAAAACATTTACTTTGCTCATTTTAACAGAAATCCTCCTAAGTGCTTCTTAATCACAAAATAAAACGCACTTGTAGGAGGAAGACTGAGCGGTAACATTTACATTGAGAGTTTGTATCTAAAACAAACATTCAGATTTTGACGGCATAATGAGATCAGTAACATTAATGCATCTTTTTGAGTTGAATTTAAAGATGTCTATAAAGAGTTATGTTCATTTATTCAGTGTAATAGTTTAGTAGACAGTTTGTATATCCCATTTGATCTAATCTTCAAACTTTGTCAATTGTAACAAAACCGAATTTTCTTTTATTCAGACAAGAAAAATGTGATTTAGCTTAATTATCAAAGGTCCGCATCAGTGTGGCTGTATTCCCACGGCTTGGAACTGTCTATTGATCTGATATTCTTTTAAATCTGCTGTGCATGATTAAAAACCCGACTGCTTGGTCAGCTGGTGCTTGTTTCAGCTCATGGAATCATGCAACTTAAGTGTAAAAATCTGTTCTTTTGAGTGTTTTCTTGTAATTCAATGAAGCTTTCAATAATCTGCAGGAAAAATTGCAAAGTACATGGATAGATATAGTTTGACAGACATCTTTTATTAGATTGGGCAAGCACAGGTAGCTGCTTCTAGAGGCCTGGATGTATTGAACTGAGAATGAATTTGAAACAGAATTTAAACTGAAAAAAAAAAAATAAAAAATTATGAAAGTGAAATTGTAGAACATAACGTAAAGGAAATTGCAGAAGTGAGAATTAATGACTCAATTATAGATGTAAATGAAAGCACTGGAGAAGCATAAAATGTAAGTATCAAATATTCAGTTTTTATCAATAATTCATTCATTTTAAGTTTCAGTTTTGCCATTTCTATTTCAGTCATAGGATATTCAGGTTCTAGTGGCACAGATATTAGATTATTTTTCATCTGTAGAGTAAAAAAAAAAAAATCAGACTTTGCCATATTCGACTTTTTGGAGCTTACCATGTTATAACATTGTAAAACAAATACATGCTACAAAACAATACACTACAACTTCACAAACCTGATGCGATGTGCAGTATTTTTATTAGTTAAATGCACGCTGATTTTGTTGTGATAACGCTCTGAAGGGGGAATGACTTGGCGCAGAGAGCAAAGGGAGGAGGAAACGTATAAAACATGCTGATATCTTGTTTTCGCCGAATGTAGAATTTTCAAAACAATAAAAGGTAACACGGTGATCTATATGTTATGTGTTAGCAGTTAATACCACATAGAAATCTAATATCCCCAACCCTGCTCTCTCTATTTACCAATTTAATGCTAAGTGCACAATCCATAATACATTACTATTCCTGTGACCGTCATAGTATTGAAGCTACTTGCTCTTTCTCCGTGTCTTTTTGTGCAGTAAATCATTATTTTTCTCTATAAAAGCACCAAATCTAACCAAAGCCGTGGATGTGGCAGCAGAGGATGAGATGGCGAGGATATCACAGTTGCACAACAGCACAAGCAGCAGTCAAAAATAACCCCCCTTTATGTAAGTCTGTCAAAAGAGGCGAGCTGAATAAGGTGGGTGCTTAGAAACTGCAGGTAAGGAGAGGAGGAGAGAGGGAGAGAAGAAAGGGCGAGAAGAGGGGGGCCGCAGGAGGGTGTGAACCAAAGAGGAAGTCATTAATACAGTGAGGTGGGGGATAAAAAGACTTAAAGATGAGCAAATATGAAATCCACCCTGTCTCAGTCAAACATGGGGCAAAAAAGGACAATGACGGGGTCTATGGTGTATGGGAGAGATGGAGCATGCATAAACAGAACAGGAACAGACAGTGCTACGAGATTGTCATATTTGGAAAGAAATAGGCTTTAATTTGCGATATTTTCACGATATACGTCTCACTGTACAATATTTATTGCGATATTTTGTGGAGGCTAACAGATTTGCTCCTTTTTCCTCTTAAAATTGACAAAATGCTTTCTTAATTCAAAGAACTAAGATTTAAAAGTGCTTATAACATTTATTTCTTCATGTAGTCTGCACTAAAACAGAGCAAAGGATCATGGTCTATGTAGTTCCCTCAGTTTTTTAACTATTGCTGCACCATAACAATAAATTTAAGCAAATAAACTTGTGATTCGATATATTGTGATGGGCCACGATGTTACTGAGAGACTTTTGGCGATATGATGTCATGATATTTTGGTTACTGTTACATCCCTACTAGTGGATTCTATAACATTTGCAAGCACAGTGATTCAGTGGTTAGTGCCATGCTGTTCTTGAGTCCTTTGCCAAGACACTTCCACTGCTGCTGTTTTCTGATCTAAGTTATAATGTTGTTTCCTCGTCAAAAACATCCTCGGAGTTGTGTTTTGTTTCATTCAGCCATGTTTAACGCACAAACCCTGCATATTTAGGTTGTGTTCTTGTCTCCATGGGTTCCACCTTTTGATGTCATGTGGAAATACAAGAAGTGCTCTACTGTGCTTTTAAAGTCCATACCTTCACTGTTTGGATTATTTCAGCCCTGGAATTGTCAGTCTCTACAGATCTAAAGGTAAAGGGGAGCTGTTAACTTGAAAATTACCACTACGGTACATCACAAGGTAGAACAGAGCATTTTGAACTAGAGACAGACTAAAAAACAGGATTACTCAAACGTGTGACTAAAACAAAACACAACTCAAGGTGAGGAAAACAACAATGTAACATAAATCAGGAAATAGCGTTATATGGGCCCTTTAATGGAGCATTCTCTCCATGAAATGATTAAAAATCCCTTTAATGGAGAATTCTCATCTTAAAACCCACTTTAATTTTCTTTTTTGCTTTTAACACTACGTGAGTTGTGTGGTCCTCTGTGTCTTTTATTTATTTGATCTATTTTATTTTATTTATTTTACTTATTTACTGCTATTTTATGATGTTTATAGTTTTTGCTTTTATTTAGATTTTACTGGTTTTATTGTTTTAGGACTGGTATGACCAAATTTTACTAATTTACCTTTTTGTTGTCTTCATTTTATGATCTCTGTACAGCACTTTGGAAACTGCTTTATTTGTAAAATGTGCTATAGAAATAAAGTGGATTTAGATTTGGATTTGGCACATTTCAAACCAAGAATTAGTGAGTTCAAATGACACAGGACCAGACTGAAAAGTGGTTAATGCTCTAATAATCAACCTTAAACAAAGTTGTGTGGATTCAGTTCTCATGTCCTTGATTTGTTAGTGTGGCTGAGTGTTTAGTGTTTCATATCACCTTCTTCTTGGTCTAATACAAGTCCAGTCTTCCACAGTGGCATTTTCACTTTCACTTTCATTATAACATTCCCCATGTGAATGACAGTGAATCTGGAAGTGTGTCTGTGTATGTGTGGAAATTCATTTTCTCTGTTTGCCCTCACACAACCGCAATCATTCTTTTTTTTTTTTTTCTCTCTCTCTTAAAATGTGTCCCCCTTTTCATTTTGAAATGTTATCTGCTTCAAGTTGGTGGCATTTCATTTTGATTCTGGCTTGTAAATATCACACATTATCTGTAATTTCATTTCCATAACACAGTTGAGTGAGCATTTGCCAACTCCCAACAGTTTGAAATTGATCTGTTAGCTTGTTATCCATGTCAAACAAAAACTCAAAGC